ACCAGGGCACGTTTGCCTACCCCTGCGGCGGTCTCAAGGATGCATCGTACCTGCTCACGGTGGTTCAGTTGGCGCAACGGCTCAAGGCCCCCAAAGTCATCACCGACAACATTGGTAAAGAAGTCAAAGTGTCCGATCTCCGCGCAGCGTTCAAACAAGACTGGGGTGCCGACGTCGTGTTGCAGTGTCTGGATGGCGCGTTCACTGACGTGCTGACGTGTTGGAGCAAAGGCCACGCCATGAAAGGCAGTGGGGAAGTTTTCCCGTCCAAGATCCAAGGCTGCTCCCCCCAGATCGCTGCCACGGACGAATGCACCAACGTCACGACCAAGATCTTGGCCTTTTCAATACCCACCAAAGCCCCTGTAACGGACGCTCCATCGGACGCCCCAGTTACCACCGCCGTGGTTCCTGTCACAACCACCGTGACCCCTAACTCTACCACCGTGACCCCTAAATCTACCACCGTCACCCCTAACTCTACCACCGCGCCGACCCCCACGTCCACCGAAGTCCCTTCAGAAGTGGACATTTGGACAAAGTCTTATGCACGCAACGCTCGGTGTGCAATTTTCGGGGAAGAAGGATGCACGTACTGCGCCGCTGCCAAAGCCCTGTTCAAGGAAAAGAAAGCCAAGTACGACTACTTTGGGGTGTGGATGGACAACCCCAACCACACCCCCAGCGGCATGGACGTGTACTACTCGCTACTACGCCTCACCAAGAAAGACACGCTGCCCAACATTTGGATCGGGGGGAAATTCATCGGGGGCTTCGACGACTTGAAAGCATTGGATAAGTCGGGGGCGTTGGATCAACTGCTCAAGGACGCCAAGTGTCTGTAAAATGCAGTGTACTAACGTTACGTCCGTGTTTGGCTACGAATAAACGTGGTGAAATTGCTTGTTTTGCGTATGAAAATTCTTGTTGGAGGTTTAACGTTGCCGCCGCTACATGGGTCGCCAATTTCACGTTTCCATTGTTCAGAAAAGCACGGTCGCAGTCAGAGACACCAAAACAGACAGAAATTATGGTGCAAATTCTAGCAAGGCGGCAACAACTAGGGTACTTCCTCTGTTCCATATTAGTGCGACATTTGAGTTCTAGGCGTCCTCAAAAATTGAATTCTTGTCCAAATTCGATGAATCCTACTACTCTGTGCTTTTTTATATTTGAGGAAATTTGGTCCATCACGGCCTGGGCCAAATTGTGAATTTCGATTGGCTGCCGAAAGCTGGCGTTCGTTCTGATCCTCCTGTTATTTTAATAAAGCGATTCGATCATAAACGACATAATAACAACCACGTAAATAATCACACCCACCCGAATCTGATCAGCAGATTTTCGGGACCTAAACACGTCGACAACCATGGCACGACAACCGACCGGGAGAGAGCTCTCCTACGCCAACAAGATGGAGGTGATCCGACACCTAAACCACCTGTCGACCATGGGCAAGCTTGCTCGTGGAGCGATCGCTTCCACTGCCTCCCAACTCAACATCCACCGAACCACCGTCTCCCGTATCTTGAAGGCCTATCAACGAAACGCACTGGTGCCATCGTTAAAAGTAGATAGTGTCGACCGGCCGCTGATATACACACCGGATCTCGTCACCAGTACTCTCCGCGAACTGCCGCAATCGCTACGCTCGACAATGCGCGACATGTCAGAAGGCACTGGCATACCACTTGCATCACTCCAACGGGCCCTGAAAGCAGGAAAGATTCAACGCTGTAGCACTCACTTCAAGCCTCTGCTGTCCAAAGACAACAAGGAAGAATATATCGCATTTTGCCGCTCGCGAGTTCGTCCCTGCGGTCCCGAAACCCCGGATTTTGATGACATGTGAGATGTCTTACACCTTGATAAAAATTGGTTCAACGAGGAGAAGATCCGCAAGAAGTATCTGACGGAGGGTAAAGAGCCTGAGCAGTGCGTCTGGTCAAGCAAGCGCTTCATCCCCAAGGTCATGTTTCTGGGCGCCATTGTATGTCTTCGGCAGCAAGATTGGCATGTGGCCAATCGTGTAGAACCTATCTGCTGTGCGCAACTCCCGCAACCTCCGGCGGGAACGATCGTGCTAACGTTGGTGAACGTGTACACTGTTGTGTATAGAGACTATGTGCTCACGCGAGTCATTCCAGTTATCAAGGTAAAATTCCCTACCGTAAACAAGCGTGTTGTGCTTCAGCACGACAATGCGACACCCCACGGAGGAATCACCGATGCTGACTTTGCGTGCATCTGTGGTACTTGGTCCTTTGTGGTTCGCTGCCAGCCACCAAACAGCCCAGATCTGAATGTGTTAAATATGGGCTTATTTGCTTCGATCCAATCGCTGCAGTACAAGTTGGTTAGTCGTACTTTGGATGATGTCATTTATGCCACCTTCGCTGCCTTTAATCTCAGCGATGACGAGGTACTTGCTAAAAGAAATGTCGCAAGTAATTTGGAAAAGTGTGATTTTGAAAAGTCGGCAGTAATATGGAACAGAGGAATTATTTATTTGTCGAGGTCGTTAAATAATTCCATCATCCCATGCGATCAACCACAACGGGGGTGGTGGTGTGGGTTCGCAGGAGCACAAACCCTCCCAGTGAGTTTGCTTTGTACAGCACACACGGTTGATTCTGTCGCCGACGAGGGGCTGCCATGTCATAGTTGGAGACTTTCCGACTGCTGCTGTTGCTGCTACTATTCAAATCGTGCTTCTTCCACAAGGGGACGTGACCGCGTCGAGTTGTCGCGACGACTGCATCCGCGCCCTTTCGCAAAGTAATCCACTCCATTTTCCAACGCCGATGTTTTGTGTGGCTTTCGGCCACGGGACCTTCGTCCAGGTAGCAAATATATCACTGACATTAAGTTAATGAGGTAAACACGTCACAAGGCGCCTACTGACTAGCATTCACTAAAGTACTCAGTAACTCCCTAAGGTAACGGAACCTTTGACACGACACACACACAGAGTGTGTGTGCTTGCGATGAGTCAAATCGATGCGCGGCCCAATTGCTCTGAACGCTGCAGAACACTTCTCCTGCTACGGCAAGTCCAGTGACTTTATGAGGGCAGCCACGGCACGTTCTTTCTTGTTGGTCGCCGCCCACTTGCGAAATATTACTGGAATGTCCAGCATTCGCCAGGTTCCCAGGACGATTCTTCATCGTCTAGACGAAGCCACTTCACCAAAACGTGGTGATGTGTCTGATGGGCATCTTCAAGCCAGCCCGCGACGTCGGGTGACAAATACCTGTCAGCGGGTTCTGGCTTGCAGGCCAGTAAATGCTGTCACAGGTGCAACTCAACCCAGCAGGTCCGCCGGCTGATGGTTGAGGGCACCTTGACACGAGAGACAACAAATTCGGCCATTCATTCGCGTTCCATCTCGCTATGCAAATCCTTCACGGCGCGCTAGTGGGTTGACTACTTCTACATCCCGTGCGTGCAACGACTGTAGGCTGTCGTGATGTGATTATGGGCACCCACCAACTTCCGACATTCTCAATCACTTCGTTCTTGATTTGAGGGCCGCCATCTGACACCCATATGTCACCGAACGTGGTAAACCACGTCATCAGGCACTGAGCGGTCGCGGCGGCGTCAGCGGACTCTGCCGCGAACAGCTGCATAAAACCACTCATGCCGTCCTTCACGACAAGCACTTGTTTTGGCCGGACTTGGCCATGGGCTTCGACAACCAGTCGAAATTGATGAGCTCGTTCGGCTTCTCTGTATGAAGCGCCAAACCCAATAGACCGGGAACCATTTCTCCGTCAATACACAGGCAGTGCAAACAGGACCGCATGAACACTTCGACGTCCGTGGAAAGCGTCTTTCACACAAACTTGTCGGACACAGACTTGGTTGTTGCTGCGATACGACGGTGACCGCTGGCTCCTTGGTGGGCGATCACACAAATCCGTTGCTGAAGGTCAGCAGCACCGTCCGGGATCCAGATTCGTCCGTCTGGGTCCAAAAATGGGAGTCGTCGTCCCAATCCACACCGCTTGGGGGGGTCCGTCCCCCTTGCATGGTTGAACGTTGGATGCCGCTGAACATAGCGGCTGTCGGCCACTCGAAATCCACTTGTTGCAGAGGCGACACCACATGGATCAACTTTCGAACATTCACAACAGGTTGATCCGTCGGAGCAACCCATCGGCTCAGGAGGTCGCCCCATACATTCGCGTCACCCGAGACGCACTCAATGGTGTACGGGAATGTCGAAATCACCTGCGACCATCGCTGCAGCTTGTCGGCCTCGTCATGGCCATGTTGACGTTCGGGCCACTTGGGTAAAAAATGTACACCAGGCTGCGGCGATCCGTGAACAGACGGAAACCACCCGGGCGTACGACCACGTAGTCGAGTCTCTTGCACGACTTGACCACAGCGTAGGCCTCCCTCTCGACAATGGGCCAGCGCGCACTCGCGCCAGAAAACGACCCACTGATGAACTCAAGCGGCTGGTGCCTCTGGTCTTTGAGAGGCAAGTCCAGGTCCGATGGCGGTACTTGTGTGGCGACCGCACCCCAGAACAGGTCACTGGCATCCGTGAAGACGCAGACCGTCATGTCTTCTCGCAGGTGCGACAGGGGCACCACATGCACCAACGCGTGTTTCGCATCGTCGAAACACTTGAGATGGTCGGACGACCATCCCACGGCAGGGAGTGCGACAACGCACGAACGCCGTTTTCTTGGCCACGTCAAGCAGACGTCGCAACGGATCCACCAGCTGATTATAACCAGGGATGCTCGCACGCATCCAGTTGGTTGCACACTCAAACTACTGGAGGTCGGTCGCTGTCGTCGGCGGCGATAAATCCACGAGTCCTTGAATTTGGCTTGTGGAATGGGTGATTCCATCGGCCGAAATCACCTTGCCACACTCAATTTGAGTCCGAACTGGGCACAGGTGGTCAAGACTTGGTCCAACAAGTCGAACAGCTCGTCCGTCGTCTTGGCGGACCCCAGCAAATCATCGAGCCAGGCCAACAGGCCTCGGAACAGCAGTTCACCAAACATTTGGTGGGAACCGACTGGTAGTACGCTACAGCGTCCGTCTGTCCCATGAGCACGCGGGTCGGGGTGTACACGCAGAAGGGCGTCATGAACGAGAAGTACATCTGGCTGTCCGCAGCGGCAATTGTCAGTACCTCTTGGTCACGTCCAACGTGAAGTACACGTTCGTTTCGACCAGACATACCATCGCGCTGTTCAGATTTGACATCGGCCAAGGCATCGGCTCCGTGCAGGCGTTGATCGGCCTGCTGTCGATCGTCATGCGCAAGTCGCCGACTTCCTCCTTCGGCACGATTCCTGGGGTTGTGGCCCACGTAGTCCGGTTGTTTTGGTACAGTATACCATGTCATTCGCTTCCAGGGCAACCACATGGCTGCGCATGCACTCCACATGCAGCGGCGGGTACCACCGAATCCCACACTTCATCAGCGTCGAGCCGGGCTTGATCCGAACCTCCAGAGGTTCAACCTTGACAGGTGGATCGTCGCCCGAGTCTTCACGGAACACATCAATGTGTTTGGCCAGTAGGCCTTGCAGCCTCGGCTGCCTTGGCCGTCAGATTGTCTTGGACGGCCGCCTGCTTCGTGCGGCGCCCTTCCGCTTCGTCCTCGATGGAGGTTTTGGGATAAACCTCCGGAGTAGCACATTCCATCCCGTCGTCGGGGTCAAGCTCCGGCGGATTCAACTTCTCCACCATCAGGCGCTTGACATTCGCCATGCCAGACATTTCGTTCGTCGGTACGGACGAAACGTCCCATTCTTCCTTCTTCTTCCTTGCTCCAACAAGGAGGTCTTCAACGCTGAAGGCCGGTAACTGCATGACTGGGCAACTCATGATGAGTTCAGTTGCAGTCGACGCGAATTCGACCGAGGCCTTCAAACCAACACAAGCGGTCCACACGTCGTGTCCAGAATCACGCAGTTGAAATTGCCGCTGCGCGTCATCACAACTGGCTTGGCGTCACTGCCGTACAGGTACGCCAAATGCGGCACGCTATGGGACACAATCCCAACTTCGACACTGGCTGCGTCCAACGCATCCATGACGCCGCGCATGACAACCGTCATGTCTGAACCAGAGTCCAATAGGACATCGTCCATGCGGATGACATTCTCCAATAGCACGCCGCGCTCTGTCTTCAGTAGCTGCGGCTGGTTGACCAGCACCTTGATGCCGTCCTTCCAGGGCTTGACTTGCGCTGCCAACAACGTTTCGGCTTCGCCATGCGCGGTCTTCGGGCACCGCGCCACACGGTGACTCATGTCACCGCACTTCTAACAGTACTTCCTGGCCGGTGGCTCAGCAGTATTGGGCACGATCGCATCGACCGCCGACACTGCCATTGTTCTGGGCAGCGTCTTCCCGGCTGCCTTCACGTCTTGGAACTTGACGCTTGCCGCCTCATGCAGCTTCTACCGGCTTCGCTGCCGGGGAAGGTTTAGACTCGTCGCCGAGTCCAACGTACAGCTGGTGGCCAGCTGCAAAAATTCGCAGCCAGTTGACGTAACGGAAGACGTCGCTCGTCAACACCTTGTTCCGTTGCAACTGCAGCTGCTTGTGAACCGCTGTCTTCAGCGATTCCGGCTTGATCGACTTCGACGACCATCTTGCCTTCCTGATGGAGTACCCACTCCTGGTGGTCTTCTTCCAACGAGCGCATCAACTCGTCCAACATACGACCGACGCCGGACTCCGCGTCCAAGATTCCGTATCGAAACGAATCGCTCGCTGCAGCCGTTGCTTCAAAATGTTCAGGTCTTGAGGGTCTTCCTCAAACGCTGACTTGAACCACGCGACCCACTCATCGTTCGTGATGGAATTGTGGTCGCGGTTGAAGTCGTACAGCGCGATCTGGCGCTTCGAAAACGGGTCCATGCAGGCACTCACGGGCATCGCCAACAGACGCGAACCATTGCACTGCATGGCGTTGATCTGGCCCAGATAAGTTTGGTAGTCGCGCATAAAAGCGAGTCTTTCGGCCTTGGTTGAGCCCGAAAATGTCGGCGGCTGGGGAGCGCCGGCGCGTTCCAAACTTGTGGCGCCGTACGGCCGTAACCCCCATCGCTGCCCATGCATGTATCGTCATGGACATCCGACGGGTCGTTGTCGCCTGGCAACGGCACTGAAGCGCCATCTACTTCAGTCGTTTGTAGAGCAGCAGCGGTCCAAACGCAGCAACAGCTGGTAATCCTCGGGTTGTGACAGGGGTGTAAAACCCATTACGTGGCGGTTGCCACTCGTCGACAGCAGGCGGCTGTCGTCGTCGGGGAGATATGAACGGGTTCTCCACGGTACACCAAGCGACACGTTCTCGTGCTCCTCGATCCGGTCACGCAACTGCGATCGTTCTTCGGCGTTCTTTGGCGATTCCTCGTCGGAGAAATGTTCGCGTACCATCTCCAATGAGTAACTCAAAAATGGACTAAAGATATCTTTGTTTTGTCCCCCGCTTCTTCTTGGCTTTCGGCCACGGAACTTTCGTCAAGGTAGCAAATATAACACTGACATTAGTGAGGTTAAACACGCCACGAGGCGCCTACTGACTACCATTCACTAAAATACCCAGTAACTCCACTAAGATATCGGAACTTTTGACACGGCACACACACATAGTGTATGTGTTGGAATGGGTTAAACCGACGCGCGGCCCAATTGCTCTGCACGCTGCAGAACAGGATTCGACTGGTGACCTCTTACTACTTAAATCTCTACCCGTAGGTCTCGAAGGGATCGATGAGAGCCATATCCTTGAGCATTCCGGGCTGAGGAAAATCCACGTGCGGGGCGATGCCGCCGTGGCGGACCAAGTATGCAGTCGGCACTCCGCACATCGCACCACGTCACAACGTTGCCCGACGTCCACGCGGCGTGCTCTGTCAAGTCGGCATTCTACATGAACACAACTGGTGAACGACATGAGGGGATTGAAGTCATTGGTTGAATAAGAGAGCGGTTGGAATACTGCTGCAGGTACAGTAATAATGTGGTGTTGGTGTAACTACACCTTTTTGCATTAAGTTGGACGAATACCCGATATACTTGGCCGTGTGCCCGATATAATTGGCCATGTGCCCGTTTAATTTGGCACACGGATGTCGTGTGCCCGATATAATTGGCTGTGTGTCCAAGCAATTGCCCAACTGCCCGATGAATTGTGTCGTGTGCCCGATGAAAATGGCAATACAAAGTCAATTCAATATAGAAATGGTCGTTAAACGACACATGCAGCATCGTTGTTGTAACGTCACATACCAACGCCCATGTTGCTCATGACCTCCGCGCGTCCATCGATGGTGCGTACCTTGAGGTAAATCGAAAAATGAACTCTGCGTGCGACAGATTCAAGTTTTGGACGGAGTTGGAAGTATGGACGAAACGATGAAGTATAGGTAATTGACATCATAACCGGAGTTCGTGGGGGTACAGCTACGTCCACGCTGTGCGTTCCCTGGTGATTTGATTAATGAGCATTCAAAATGTTGGAGGAAAGCGCGCGCATCATGAACTTAAACAATACTTTATTGAAGTATAAATTTCGAATTCTTGCCTTCGCGCGAATTCCTCCGAACTTCAAACACTTGATGTTTCCACCAAAACTGATTTGCACTCCATAAAATATAATTATTTGAGTTATTCCATTTCATCGGGCACACGACACAATTCATCGGGCAGATGGCCAATTACTTGGGCACACGGCTGATTATATCGGGCACACCGCCAAATATATCGGTCACATGACCTCGGTGTACCAAATTCAATGGGCACATGGCTAATTATATCGGGCACACCACCAAATACTGTATATCGGGCGCACGGCCAATATATCGGGCATTCGTCCAACTTAACTGCAAAATGGTGTAGTACTAGAAATGCAGTTGTGTAAATGCAGTTGTGAATTCCTTCCAGAAGCGTAACCATCCATAATATACGCCTACGTACTTGTTAGTAGTCGCCACGTTTGTGCAATAGATATTGGGGTCCTTGGCGGGGTCCTTGTGTTATGGCGCATGGCCGTGGCCCTGTCGTTTCAATTCCTGTATTCTGAACGACGCCGTTTCGAGTGAATGATAGCTCGACAGCATTTTTATTTCAACAAGTAGAAAGCCGAACATGTTAAATGTGAGTGATATGTTGCTGGTACGCCTCGGCAAGGTAAGGTAAAAGTTAAACGTGGTAAATATAATTTTACTTTTACCTTTACCCTTACCTTACTTAGAGCATCTGCACCGGTACCAGCAGTTCTCAGATCCCAATAATTTTATTGGGCAATTTACTGGAATTCCAAAAAATCGTTCGCACCGGTACCAATAGCCAGTAAAAAAGTTCCTGGACTCCGCTACTCCAACAAATATTCCAGTAAATTTGTTGGAATTTTTGTTGGAGTACTGGACTCCAGTAAGTCAACTGACCAATCTTATTCACCTGTGACTCGATCGAATGCGTGGCTTTGTTCCCCATTCCAAGTTCCTTCGTGACTGCGCCGACGTATTCGCCAAGGAGCTTCCGCCTGCTTCGCTCCCGCTGGGGCTTCCTTGACCAGGTCATCCGGTGTCCCGTCAACCCCATAGGACAAGGAGGCCCCAGCGGCCTACAAGTCCATGTCCCGGTCCTTCAGCTTTTCCGTTGCTGAGCATTGGCCGCCCATCACGTCGCTGCCTCGCGTCCTCAACGCTGACCTCAAGACCGTCCCCGGCTCCAGCGACTCACGTGCCTGACCGACCTGAAAGGCCCTCCGCGGCTTCCTGGTCGAGCAGATCGTCATCGCATGCCCCACCATTCCCCAGCACTCAGACGTCTGATGTTCGACGTACCGGTATACGAAGTCGGCTAGCTGTAGACGCAAATGATTTCTTAGTTAGCTGATGTACGCGAATAAACGTTACTATGCATACATATAAGCAAAACAGGCAATGAAGGAACGCTCCCGAAACTTCACCCCACATGAGCAGGTGCAGCGGTGCAGTTGTGTCACGTATGGCTGAGTGCCTCGCTCGATCTAATCGTCGGAAACGATCAAACTGCAAGTCATTTCTAAGCCCGAGTACTGCAGTGTATAACAGAGTGGTGGTTTTTATCACAACAAAATCGTCGTAATCACAAGCTTTGCAGTATAAATCACAGCAAGTAAAGCTTCGAAAATTATTACTTTTGGGAGACAAGGACATTTACTCCTGTTGGAATAGGTAGGAAGAATTCCCTGTGTGTGGTTGGAACTCACGAATTCGTCGGGGTCATGCAGTCGAAAGCGTCTATGGATTTAAATTCAACGATGGTGCTGTGTACTTCCCGGTGCACAGTTGGTGTGACTCGCCGTTTCATTCCAGTAGGAGAAAGAGGAGCGAGTCGACTTGGTGGCGCGATCACGTATACGACAAGCAATGTATTTCGTCGCGTCAAAGTGTGTTCGTACTTACTGCAAGAGCTTTGGTAGCAATAACAATACCGGTAACATTCCCAGATAGTCCTCAGTACAGTAAAGTATGAAATGAACTTATGACCTAATTCTCATTAATGTCGTTAGTTTAAGTAGAGATCTATTAGCTGAAGGTGCATGGCACTACACCGTAAAGGTCCAGAGCTCGACTCCAAGAACAATGTTCCATTTTCGCAGATTTCAATTCTTTTACTGCACAATGATACTGGTTGGTACATGTGTATGATCATTTTGATTATACTTGTAGCTTAATCAGTATAATGGAGTACGGGCGACATTTGGCGCCGCAATTGAGTATATCATGTGTTTTTTCCACGTCATGAAAAAGGTACGAAGAACCAACAAAAATTTGAGAATTTTAGACTCTTTGTAGTGCCGAGACTTCGCGGTTAGCTTCAAATTGACTTGGCAAGAATGGGACGAAGCGTCCAAGGACATATACCGCAGGCACACAGCTTTTGATCGGGTGCACCTGGACTTCGTAGCAAGAAGTGTCAAGGCTAAGTGGAATGTCATGTCACAAGGAGTGAGAAAGTTTCGACTGAAGATCTTCCGATGGTGGATGCCCCCAACCATGATGGCAAACGTACCACTGAATGACACACCCTGCCGGTTCTGGAAATGGCAAGTGTATCACACGGATCTTGGGGCTGCCACCACCAACAATCTCAATGAACAATTCAATGCAGAAATCAAAAAGGTACACCAAAAACTACGCTTGAATCTAACGCAACATTTTAGGCTCTTGGGCACCAGCGCCTAGGCATGGTGCATTTGGTTCAAGTCTTGTTACGACTGCTACGCAGCGAGTCAGACAAGGCCACCCCATTCTGGACCACCCCTCGGGTTGGTGGACGCCTCCTCCAACACTTCAAACAACCCCAACGGAAGAATGCGCTCGATTTCAACGAGGCAATCGAGGATGGTCCGAATATTTGGAACGTACGACATCACGTAAATGCGAACGGTGATGTCGTCATCCCAGATGGACCCATTGTCCCTGTCAATGATTTTGGGTACCAGTACATTACTCGACACGTCCAGCGACTCGAGTACAATGACCAGCCCACCAACGGGTGGCGTGTCAACCTGACGAACATTCAATGCAACTACGGCTACTGGTATCGGTCTGGGATCTGCGTCCATTTGCTCGCCGTGGCGTTCAAGTTCGGTCGTCGACTTCGTGGTATGGCCCCAAAGGTGCGACGGATTGTCAATCGCAGCATTCGGGGAGGACGCACCGTCCGTGGTGGCCGCGGTGGTCGTGAAGTTCGTGGTGGCCGTCGTGGTCGTCGTGGTGCCCGCGTTGGCCCAGTCATCGCTGTTGACCTCATTGATCACGATGTAGAACATGAGGATGGATTAATAGTGTGAGTGTACTTAAAATTTAATCAAGCACTTAATTAATTAATTTTTCTATCAAAACTCATTGTGTCATGTGGCTCAGTGGTAGAGCTTCAGTTTCACGTGCGAAAGGTCTTGGGTTCGATCCCCGGTGTTGGCGTGCAATATACCAGATAGTCAGAGTGCGCTGGGACCTTAGCACGACTGCCGGTATATCCCCGCCATTCGGTAGAATCTGCCATCTAAAAATAATTCATTTTTCTCTGTTTTTGTCAAGTTGCCAACACATTGGCAGACGTAGTATATATAGCCAGCTACAAATGTCATAATCAAAAATGCTACAAAAGCCGGCTAAGACTACGAGCGTTGTCAACCAGCTACGTCGAGACATCCATGTGAACCCACTGTAACAACGAAGCGACGCACACTGTCACCACCAACGCAGTCGTTTTACCCGACAGACATGATCTTGGTAACGTCTCCGCAGCCCATGCACAGCCGCGAAGTGCACCATTTGGCAGACGAACGCTGGTTCCGTGGCAAGCACCAATTCCTAGTGCATTGGGCGCGGCCGGAGTTATTGGGCAAGACGACATCGTGGGTCCCTGTAAGCTATCTATCCACATGCAGCGAAGCGCTTGGCAGCTACCATCGATGGAAAGCGTTTTGCCAAAAAATGGTGAAAATTTATCTTTTGCGAAATTTCGCAGCTACGACGCTCATTGGCTTGACTTTCGAAGCTATGCCACGAACACTTGCTTGATAGCGGCATTTCGCATTGCAGCGACGCTGTTAAATGTACCGCTAAACGTCTCGGATGACGACATGGGCGAGTTTATGGCGAATCACAAGATTGACGCCAACGAAGGGATCCCATCAGCGGCGTTGCGTTCATTCATCCGCTTTTTGGGCACCAAGGGCTTCCGCATTTGCCACCAAACATTTGCCGAAAACTTGCTGCTGGATCCCACTAGCAACGCACAGCTGAACGTGTTTCCAACGATCAAACGTGGGGGCGAAGGTGTCTACTTGTTAACAACTGTCACCGACAACCTTGCACATTTCTGGGTTGTCCATTGCGATGGCCTGCAAACGAAAGTTATTGACAGAGCAGGAACAGTCCCATTGGGCAAATTTCCTCATGTGGATTATATTCGAACGATTCGGCGCTTGTACCTCTTCAAAAAACAACGGTGACATAAACTCAGAATAGAACAGGACATCCCAATTATGTGTATAAGATACATGTCCACATGACCAATAACTACTCATCGTCTTAAACTGTGGTGATCGTAATGGCTCGAGTGGCCGGAGTACGGGTGTTAGTATGTCGTACTGGGTACACTTGTAATCGTCAGCGGCGCGGTCGTCATGCGGCGTCACGATGATCAGGTAGTGGCGCCGCCATTGTGCTAGGACATACGCATGTGAGTGCGCAACGATATCACTATTGTATGGGAATGCGGCATGCGGTACTCTAGGTACCGCATACAGCATTCGCGTGCAACAGCAAGTACGCATACATAGTGTGTTTACTGTTAATTGGGGAGCAACACGGTGTTGGTGATGTGAGAGAAAAGTGTACCTTTGACTGTGAATCCATGGTCGTTCTTTGTGGATGTGAAGGGACGATGGATTTCTCTGTGTATTTATGTAGTGAAAGTCACGTGTTTATAGAGGTTTATCCGGTTCGTTTGTCCAGCTGTGCTCACTTTTCAATTTGTTTTACCAAGAGCAAGTCCAAATACTTCGACCAGCATGCATGAACTTCGAATGTGTTTTTCTCTGCCCACAAGGCATTTCAGGCCATTCTGAGTGGATCGAGTTTTCAATCCAAACTAAAGTAATCGCAGTTTGAAGTGTTCCCCTCACAAATTCAGATCTATTAATATCAGCAAATAGAATATTCTTCCCCCGTCAACAATCCTGTATAAACGGATACATTTGTACACATTGTGAGGATGACTCTGTGCCTTGTGGAAAAGACCAATTTCTGTGGAATAGCCCAAATCTTCTGTGTGATGTACAATTTGGTTGTGACAAAGGCTTTCCCTCTGTATAACAGTAGTCCCGAATGCACACAGAGGTACCGGCATAGTGAATGACAAGCAGATTTGCTACATGAGGGCTACGGTAACATTTCCAATACTGTACTATAGAACTGGTGATGGTCTCTACATTCACTGGAGAGTCCCATGCAGCCGAATCCATCACGAAGCAAGTGCAATCTGATTTAAATTTACTGCCTTCGGTGCGAAATCAAAACGAGGCCAGTAAAATTTGCGCCAGTAACTCGCTTATCCGAACAAGTTATCCAGATAATGGGGTCATATTTACTGGCACCAGTGCAGATGCTCTTACCCCGAATGGCCCTGCTTAAACATTTTACCTTACCTTAGGCCCTGGTCGGAGAAAACCATGGACGATTCTTCAATCCTGAACGGCTTATTATCCGGCTCACTTTATCCGAATTATGACTGGGGTATTTTCTCGTGTCCAGGGAAGTCCTCCCACGACAACGAAGTCACGTGCAGCTTGATAAGCGAAATGACTCGATGCGGATAACACGTGGTATGGCTATATCATGAATACGTTGTAGCGCCTATTTGAGATACCATATATGACCATCGCATGTCACCGTTGCTTCGCTGCTATCAGGTTACGGTCCAATCCTCGACCGACAAGCTGGTAGCAGTGAAGCAGCTACAGGTCCTCTACGGCGCGAACTGCACGGGTAGATTGATGTCATTGGGCATTGGCCTCCTGTGTAGATGTGTCTTGCAACACGACTGGTTTCGACAAGCGTCGAGTCTCATTGATGGCACGAACCACCGGCGAGTGCGTCTGGCGTGGAACACCGGCGATTTATGCTGCACCACGCAAAATACATTATAATTGTTATCGGCCGAGCCTCTGTTCGACTCCTCGTGCCTGAATGTGGGTGCGTAGCCGGAAGTTGGTCCGGAACAGGACGACTTTTGAGGAGTGTGAACTATGACCTGGATCCGGAGGGGCATATGTGCCGAGCTGATGGTACACTGTACGATGCATGACTTGTAGAGAGTAGTGAAGTGAAAGGAGGGAACTGACTGATTGACTGGGTAATGAAGTTACTTTTGGATTTGTCATCGAGGTCAACGTTGTGAACACGGTAGTCGTCGGTTGCGAAGACCGGCGGAAGACAACAAAGAATTCTTTAGCTGTCTTACAGAAACGCTAGCGACTGAACACATGGAGTTTCCTGGAACTGGAAACGAGCAAGCCTTGGACGTGGAGCTACCCGGTAGCGACCACGGGGACTCTGTCGTAGCTCGATCCCGGTCGGATCGCTCGACGAGTCCTGCGGCCCGTGCACCATGCGTGGGCCGTTTTGAAGAGTGAGGAAGGCCCCGGGCCAGTGTGATTGCGCGGCGGCTGTTCCGGTCACCACAAGGAAGGCGACAACCGGTAGCAGTTGATGAGGCCTAGAGTTACGGGAGACCGACGACAGTTGCGGCCCCCGAATTTGGCGGTACATCCGGGACGGCTCCCGGATCTGCGCCGGAGAAGGAAGATGTGGATATGGGACAGAACCACGTGCACCTGCACAACGCCCCGGCCCTCCCAAATAACCTGACGTTCAAGGGGTCCACGAAGGAAGAACGACGCGTTTTATGGCGGCGTACAACCTGTAAATCAGCCAGACCAATGCACTGACTGCAAACGGGGTCGGACCGTTCATCATGCCAGTGAGGGCGTGTATCGAACCTGCGACGAAGGGAAAGGATCCCGATGACGTTTCTGAGGTAGAATGGATTATGTTGTTCAAGCAAGGTTACGACGTCGATCCCCGGGCCCTGGACACCCTGAAGAAGCGGATAAAATCTGCTGTTGTTTTTGATATCTCGGTCCCGGACGCGGATTCCCGGATCGGACGCATGCTGGATGGTTTGGCTGCGGCTATCCGTCGGGACTACCAGGAGTGGGTAATCCGGGAAGAGAGCCAGGCGATCGTGAAGATCATCACGGACGCCGTCAGCCTGCGCCACCGTGCCGTTACCGAGCAGATGGCGTTGATGCGAAGCAAGCCTTTTAAGAAGGATGTGTACCGGTTTGTGCGCTGGTTGCGGGAATATGCGATGGGACACGTTTTGTGGGTTACGATGAAGAGTTGAAGCCGCCTCCGAGGCCGGACCTACTGAAGCCGCACGGGTCGAAGGTCCTGGGAGGACCCGGGGTCCCGAGGGGAGACGCGAAGCCCCTGACACCTGTTCCGAACGCACCGGCTATCGGTGCATCGAACAACGGTTGTCTGAAGTGTACGTCGACCAGCCATCGGGTCCGTGAATGTCCCGGTATCACCCCCGAAGAGGTCAAGCAACTGCTAAGAGCACACGGTAGTACGTTCGGACGTGGTCGGAGCGGCGAGAAAGGAGCCCCGGGAGTACCTGGTGGCCGCGTGGCGACGGTAAAGAAGGATGTCCCGGACGCGAAACGGTCAGAGCTCCCGGCTATTGTCCCGTGCAGGCATCACTCCTGGACTCAGGAGCTGATTTGTCGGTGGCCCCCGGGGGCCTGGTTTCTGCGCTGTTGGCTGCGGGAGCATCCCCGGAGATTCCCGACCCAGGCCCAGACCGATGCGGTGGCCTATTGCCAAGAGGTGGTCGACGAGTTGTTCGGGGACCTCCTGATGCACGGACTGCTCGGATGGTTGGATGATTTGTTGGGGTATGCCCAGACCACGGACGAGTTGTTGCACCTGCTGCGTAAACTGCTTGAGATCTGCCAAGCGTACGGACTGAAGTTGCACCCTGGGAAGTGTGTTTTTCACACCACCCGGACCATATGGTGCTGGAAAGAGATTTCGAAGGACGGCGTGGCGCATGCCCCGGAACGGATCCAGGGTCTGTGTGATATGGGGCCGCCGCAGACGGCAGCGGATCTCCAGCAGTTCCTGTGTGCCACGAACTGGATGAGGGGGAATATCCCGCAGTACACGGAGCTGGTAGCTCCGTTGAAGAAGCTGTTGGATATTGCGGCCAAAACGGCCGACTCCCGGAAGAAGACGGCTTGACGCGTGTTGCGCTGACTTCCGTCGGGTGGTCCGGGGACCACCTGGAGTGTTCGACTGGATCAAAGAGACGTTGAAACTTATGGTCCCGTTCTCCCTCCCGGACCCGGACAAGATGGTGTGTTTGTATACCGACGCGAGCGAGGGGTTTGGGGAGCTGTTGCGACACACGTCCATGTCGAGGACCTGGCCCTACTGGCGAGCGACCAGCGACATGAACCATTGGCGTTTCTGAGCGGTTCGTTCCGGGGAGCGAGGGGGTGATGACCGATCGTGGAGAAGGAGGCGTTTGCGGTTGTTGAATCGTGCAAACGCCTGGAGTACCTCCTGATCCGTCCGGGAGGGTTCCAATTGTTTACGGACCACCGGAATGTGGTGTACATGTTTAACCCTCTAGGGTCGAACTCGAACATGGCCAAGTACCAGTCCCACAAGCTCCAGCGCTGGCCGCTGACGATGACGACGTTCCCGTACGTCGTGGAGTGTGTGATCGGAGAGTAGAACCTTTGGGCGGATCTCCTGAGCCGTTGGGGAAGTCATCCTGAACTGGACCGGAGAGTTCCGGTGGAGTCCCGGAGTGCTTGCCCGGGTGTCCAGGCTGGCCCTGGTGTCGCCGTTACGGAACGAAGAATTTGTGTGGCCGACGGCGAATGCGATCACGGAATTGCAGCCTGGCCATCCGACATGTGAAAAATACGCCTCCTGAAGCGCCGAGAAGAAGTGTTTTCTGACGGCAGCTGGAAAGATCTGGATCCGGGGAAATGCATTGGATATACCAGTGCGTATATGTGTGGTGGCCCATACCGGCGTGGCGGGACACCGGAGAGTGGAAGCGACGAGGGCATCTGTTGCGGAGAGCCTTCCCTGAAGACCGACGTGAAGAATTTCGTCACTGCCTGCCTGCATTGAATATGGTGGTCGACGGTGAGTCGGTACCCCGTCCCTGGGGTGAAGCGCTGAATGCAACGCAGCCAAATGAGTTGATTCATTTCGACTGGCTGTCACTCCCGGAGGCCCCGGGAGGCCTGAAGTACGTCCTGGTCATCAAGGATGACATGAGCGAGTTCGTTCGGTTGCATACCAGTACGACAGCGTCTGCAGCAGAGACGGCCGCGGCGTTGATGGAATGGTTTGGCCTGTTCGGGGTGGTCAGGACCTGGGTATCCGACACCGGGTCCCATTTTAAGAACGAACTGGTCAGTACCCTGGGTCGTATGTTTGGTGTTCATCACCATTTTATCACACCACACTGCCCCTAGGCCAACGGGACAGTTGGGATGGTGAACCGGATCGTCGTCCGGACCCTGAAGACCTTGTGCAGCGAGATGCGCTTGCAACCCGCAGACTGGCCGGGGGTGCTACCTTTGGTACAGTCTGCCCTGAACCAGCAGCCGGTCAACCGTTTGGACGGCGTGGCGCCATCGACGGCGATTACGGGCCTGCCTGCTATACCACCCCTGACCGGACTGGTCCACACGTACGAGTCCCGTATGAGCCCCGGAAGCTAACGATCTACTGGATTAAGTCCCGGATGATACGCCATGTGGCTGAGCTTGCAGATGCCCTGCGAGTTATGCACAAGCACATGACAGAGACGACCGCACCAAAGCGCGCTAAGGCCCGGTACCGTTGTGATCGTGAACGCTCTGTAAAGCTGTCGAAATTTGCGTTGGTCAAATTTGTAATGGTGGCCCGGGCTCTCCAGCATCCGGGAAAGCTACCGTTGCGTTGGAAAGGACCCTTCCGGGTCGTGAAGGTGGTATCCGACTACCTGATGGAAGTCCTGAATCTGGTGCCTCCGGGGGCGACGTCCCTACATCATGCGTGTCGCCTCCTTCTGTATTGTGAAAGCGGACATGAAGGCAATGAAGATTTGAAGGTTATTGCGTTCGGCGATGAAGGTTTTTATGTGGAAGCCCGCCGAGACCTGCGTCTGCGAGATAGGGTCTGGGAAGTCCTGACAAGTGCCTGGACGATCTGGAGTCGTCCTCAGAACCGGCCCTATCGATCTACGAAGACGTTCCTGTGTTATTCCGTCGCTGGGCCAAGGCCCGGAGCAACGAATACGGCGTGCGCGAAATGATTGACGATCGCACGAGTGCATGTGGCCACCCGATGTAGGGGGAAGTGTTATCAGCCGAGCCTATCTTCGACTCCCCGTGCCAGAATGTGGGTGCGTAGCCGGAAGTTGGCCTGGAACAGGACGACTTTTGAGGAGTGTGAACTATGACCTGGATCCGGAGGGGCATATGTGCCGAGCTGATGGTACACTGTACGATGCATGACTTGTAGAGAGTAGTGAAGTGAAAGGAGGGAACTGACTGATTGACTGGGTAATAAAGTTACTTTTGGATTTGTCATCGAGGTCAACGTTGTGAACACGGTAGTCGTCGGTTGCGAAGACCGGCGGAAGACAACAATGATTTCCAATAATATTATTACTTTTAATTTGTATGGAAATTAAACTGAACGATGAATTGCATCCAGGGTTGATTTCGTTCAGGGTTCTCATTCCCAACCCTGAACGAAATCAACCCTGGATGCAACCGGAATACAGATCAGTGGGACGGATCCTCGAATCATCCGAAATCTGACATCATGTATACGTATATCGAAATTCTATATGAACCTTTCGCTTTCGAGAAGGTGCAATCCGAGCGATGCGTTCAAGGCTGCTACTAGTACATCAGATCACACTCCCATAGAGAGCATTCGCATGCGCGTCTCCCCCCGAGCACAGAAAGTTGTGCTAACGTGTAAACTCGTTGTCTCATAGACTTCAACCTACTTGCCTATTTTACGTGTGAACCTTGTTCTAGCCGTTAGCAAGATCTTTGCACGAGAACCCAAGACTGTGTTAGACATGGCAGAGTAAAAATGGTTGCCATAACGTTAGTACTTATGCTGCCGTGTTGCCACCACTCCCGATCGCATGTTGTGTGACCTTTCACAGTCCTGAATTGTCATTGTGAAATAAATGCCTTGACTTTCGACAGCTATTCCAACTCTGTATTGATATAATTTAGGAAAATATACCGTAATAACGATAGAACTGGACAAGCCCAACAGAAGTTACGGTTCAGATTTTCGATTGGTGAAAAATTGATCGAGTAATAGAATTTAAACCAACCGGTGTCTTTTTGTACGGAGATATATGGAACCAGGTACATTTTGGCCGAAAAGGAGGATCAAGTATATCTTGGTGTTTATATACAGCACTTATCCGTACGAACGTTTTCATTGTATCCGGATTATTCACAATGTTTAACCTAATTACCAGGTAAAAAACGTAGCTAATAATGATTTAACGTCAATATTTCGTGGGTTTAACTGAGAGAACCGAGGCGTTTAATAGTAAAACGTCTCCTCCTGAGGATGGCCAATCTGTAGTCTTTATACCCTAGTACTGCACTTTCGTACGGATAGTATAGCTAATATCCGGTATAGGGTACTAGTAAGGGTAATTTGTTGGGGTTACGGTAAGCGACTCGATACGTATCCGGTGATAACGTACGCGTCATCGGCATCGGCAGCATGATCGCCATAGACAATATCAACACTGAAGAACACGTTGAGCGACGCGATGAGCTGCTCAATGTGCTCCTCCTGCTGTGGAATGACCAGCGACTGGCTCTGCAGCTGAGTGAAGTCGATGAGGTCGATGGCGGGCGAGATCGCGTACGTAACAATCCACCAATCCGCGGTAGGCAACTTCGCCGGGCTGTTCTCACAGTTAGTGTAGTCGATCAGTGTTCGGCGGTACTGCTGCTGTAAGCACGTTCCCAAGATTGGCCCATCGATTCGCCTTCCTGGGACACTTGACGTTCATCTTGATGATCAGGTTGTTCTGGGCGCGAAGGTACACGGAAAACTCGTACAGAATATTTACCCAGCTGCCTTCGAAGATGCACTCGGCTGATTTCTTGACCACAATGTCGATGTGATGAGGAGGGCACCAGAAGCGGATGGCGTCGTTCTCGGCCTCCCTCACAATTAGCGTCACCAGGTCCCCGTGACGCCCAGTAATTGTGTTCTCGCCGTCCGATGAAAAGCCGAGCAGCTTGGCTCGCCAATTGACGTACAGTTCGTCGAGGAAATTGACGATCAGGCGAAAAAATTTCGCAGCAGTGTGGCGCTCAAACATAGGGATGGCGACCAGGTGCAGCTTGATGAGGAAGCCGCGGTAGCAAACGCGGGTGCGCAGGTCAAAAAACGACTTACCGCGGTGAGTGCTACCGTCGCCAGCCCGAGAAAAGGCCCACACGGACGGATCGTCGATTAACTTGGCAATCATCTGTAGCCCGACGGCCACCAGGACACGGACAGACTTTGCAACAATGAGGTCGGCCATGCCCTGCACCTTCGGGGTGTTGGTGCGGACTCTGGCGTGTTGGACGGCAGCAGCTGCTTCACGGAACGATATGCCGGCACCGACGTAGTCCATGGCGAGCTCGAAGCGCATATCGTTCTTGATTGTCGCCGTGTACGTGTACGTCCCCATGTCGATGACCACTTTCTTGACGAACAACTTCATTGCGTTGGCCTTCTCGTTGACCTTCTTGATCACCATCGTTGTCTTCGTCGTTGTCGTCGTCGCGAAAGAACAAGTCCGTGAAAATCGTCTCAATAATGTTCTTCTCGATCTCGTGTTCGATCGACGAGGTCGACAGGTCCATGTAGTTGTGGAGAGTGTTGGTGCGCTGGACCTGTTGATACAAATGCTTACCTTAGAGCATCCCCACCCCTGACGCTAAACCCAAAACTCTAAAACCAGATCTCAAGTGGGATCACGCAAAATAATTTAGCGTTTTTCATCATATTTCACACCGGTTGCCAAACAGCGATTGAACTCTATTCGCATGGATTCACGACACCAAGCCGCAAAATCGCCTGGATAAAAGTAGTTCAGGGCAAAGCATACCAACAAGTCAGTGAATGAACTACTAGCAGGGAATATCGCTTAGAAAGCCGCATCAGTAGTAGCACTCCGTTGCCGGTACTAGTGCGGTTGCGACCTATAATCGCGTCTACGCTTAAATGCGCTTGAAAACGAACCGATACACAAAAAAAAATTTGATAGTCTACGCATGCGTTAACAGAAGTCCAGAAGTCGCAATAGAGGGGGAGGGGGCATGCTCCGTTGGTCGAGAAACCAGTGCCTGTGATGTGGGCACAGTACACGAGCGAGCGAGTGCAGTGCTGGGGCAACGCATGCAGGCGCTGGTTCCACGCGACCTGGTCGTCCTTGCATCCGTTCAGGCGCAACTTTCAGTGTGCTTCCTACAAGAATCGCAATAAGGTTAACATCGTCGGTCGGCGAGGTTGGCACATGCCGAAGGACGTTTCAACTCTCTTTCGGCAAATCCAGCATCTTCGTCCGAGGCATCATCTGTGGCATAGTTGCTTCGCAGTGCAGCAACGGCCAACTTCTCAGGCCGAGTGAGCGTGCGACCACGTTGAAGCTTCGTGACAGCATTTTCAAAATTTGGGTTGCCAACAATATTTGCTGATCCACCTAAGTCTACTACCGGTAGAAATATTTCTTATAACGTTATTGTCGATTTGATACAAATTTGGGGAAGGGGTGTAATTTGCTGCGTCGATTTATCGAAATCGATGGAACATCATTTGAAATATATATACTAGTTGTACTAGTTGTGTGGTGACATGTACCGGACATTAGTCGAAATATAATTCAACGAAGTAGAGTCTGGACGAAATATATTGAATGCTTGGCGAACATAACGCACATGGCGTGAATCAGTTGTGCGTTCGACGAAATATACCAGAAATAACCTGAACTTAAACGAAAAATGGTGAAGTAACTGTAAGTACTGTACTACTGTAACGTTACACCAAATCAGACTTTGACGACGTTGACCTGGTCGTATGTTCGTTTTTCAGGTATTGTCCATTCAGCAATTTGGACTTTTGTATTGTGGATTTCCTTGATGCGTTCAATCGAGCACAAATAGAGTCGTGACATCTGATTGGCAAATATCCACTTCGCCTTTTCCGGTAGAAAATCGAACATGGATTGTAGCCAATCTGCGACAAGTAATATCGGATTGACCAATGGGATAGATTGGTGCTCGGTTCGGTCGGCGAGATTCGATTGAACGGGGTTCGGAAATTCGTACCGAATCTCCAATACTGACTTGCCAAATCCATCAATCGATTTCTGTACTGACTTTTGAATGTAAAAAATGTCCAGCGATCATGTTCATCACACTAATTAGTTGTTGATTGGTTGAACTGTGATTTCCTGCAATCTTATTGGCTAAATTATTCGGCCGATCCTCCTGCTCATTTGGTTGTGTCAATACATTCGGCACGTCACGTCTGTCAAAAATGGACCTTCATGTTCGTATGCTGCACGAACTTCGGTGTCACTCGAACAAGCTATTGTAATTTAATTTTTACTTTAAGTACTACGTAGAATGTCCAAACGTGTCAGTGATTTGGTACTACTGTAACGTTAGTACAACTTTTATATTGTCGTGTTTATAAAACAATGCTGTGGGTTTCACTATAAATAAGCTTACATCCGACTCTATTTCGAATGTGTTATCAGATATCAGGGTTCCCTCTCACTTGCAAAGCCTCTCGACGTTCCAAATGTATTGTTGCCACCGTTCAACAACCACATCCACATCCTGGTTGCTAGCTTTAGCTACGGCCTTCGCATTCAATCCACTCATGAATATGTACTATAAGTTCGATCGCATCTGCCATTGTATTCGACTAGCAGTTGTATGTAATTCTTAAGGTTATTATTATCACAGTCCTTGTGTCCCATTGCTGCCTGAGTTAGCCAGAACAAATGAGTAGTAGCTAGGTTATGAGTAGTAGCTAGGTTATAGTGGCAGTTGATCTTCGTTCTTCGTCCCGTCAGAGCCAAGAACGACATCATATTTCAATTGACCCCTCGGGCAAACATGGTGATGGCAAAGTCCATGCTGCTCGTTGCCGCGACCCTGGAGTTGGCTGTTGCCGACTTCCCGCCTTCCTGGGGCGTTCAAGACGTGTGGGTGCACACAAGCACATGGTACGCAGGCCGCTGCACGTGCTTGTGCCAGCCCTTGTGCTCGCATCCGTCGGACATCATGCGCACCAACTTGGTGTCGGGGGGGCTTATTCCTCGCTTCAACAATTACTCGGTACCTCGCTGCGACGACTACGGTAAGTATTACGCATCGTCTGCTATCTCTGCCGTCGGTCAAACGCACCTCAAAAACTACTTTCCGGTGGGATTTTCTCGCGACTTGGAGAACATGTGGTCCCCCTCTGCCCCCGAAGGCAACCAGCCCACGTTTGCCTACCCCTGCGGCGGTCTCAAGGATGCATCGTACCTGCTCACGGTGGTTCAGTTGGCGCAACGGCTCAAGGCCCCCAAAGTCATCACCGACAACATTGGTAAAGAAGTCAAAGTGTCCGATCTCCGCGCAGCGTTCAAACAAGACTGGGGTGCCGACGTCGTGTTGCAGTGTCTGGATGGCGCGTTCACTGACGTGCTGACGTGTTGGAGCAAAGCCCCCGCCATGAAAGGCAGTGGAGAAATTTTCCCATCCAAGATCCAAGACTGCTCCCCCCAGATCGCTGCCACGGACGAATGCACCAACGCCACGACCAAGATCTTGGCCTTTTCAATCCCCACCAAAGCCCCTGTAACGGACGCTCCCTCGGACGCCCCAGTTACCACCGCCGTTGTTCCTGTCACAACCACCGTGACGCCTAACTCTACCACCGTGACCCCTAAATCTACCACCGTCACCCCTAACTCTACCACCGTGACCCCTCACCCTACCACCGTGACACCTAACTCTACCACCGCGCCGACCCCCACGCCCACCGAAGTCCCTTCAGAAGTGGACATTTGGACAAAGTTTTATGCACGCAACGCTCGGTGTGCAATTTTCGGGGAAGAAGGATGCACGTACTGTGCCGCTGCCAAAGCCCTGCTCAAGCAAAAGAAAGCCAAGTACGACTACTTTGGGGTGTGGATGGACAACCCCAACCACATCCCCAGCGGCATGGACGTGTACTACTCGCTGCTACGCCTCACCAAGAAAGACTCGCTGCCCAACATTTGGATTGGGGGGAAATTCATCGGGGGCTTCGACGACTTGAAAGGATTGAATGCGTCAGGGACGTTGAATCAACTGCTCAAGGATGCCAAGTGTCTGCAAAATACTACTAACATTACGTCCGTCTTTGGCTACGAATAAGAGTAGTGAAATTACTTGTTTTTTTGTGTATGAAAATCCTTTTTGGAGGTTTAACGTTGCATGGGTCGCCAATTTCACCGTTTCCATTGTTCAGAAAAGCACAGCGTCACCAAAACAGACAGAAAACTATGGTGCGAAATCCAGGCAAGGTGGCGACAACTAGGGAATTTATTTGTCGAGGTCGTTAAATAATTCCATCATCCCATGCGATCAAACACAACGGGGGTGGTGGTGTTGGTTCGCAGGAGCACAAAACCTCCCAGTGAGTTTGCCTTGTACAGCACACACGGTTGATACTGTCGACGAGGGGCTGTCATGTCATAGCTGGAGTCTTTCCGGCTGCTGCTGCTGTTGCTGCTACTATTGAAATCGTCTGCTTCTTCCACAACGAGGGGGCGCAACCCTGTCGAGTCGTCGCGACGACTGCTCAGCGAACTTTCCGAGTTCCATCCCTGGTCTCCAGCTTGCAAATGGGTAGTAGTAGACTGTCCTGCGTCGGTCATTGTCGGTGTGTTGGCACTACCTAGCGCGCAGGACGTGCACATGGATTTATCATGTGCGTGGGATTTCAATTGCCATTCGCGATCGCAACGTCGACACATGACCTACAGTATACACAGTACATGTATATCATACTATATGCCATTTTGACCAGTGTGTCGTGTGTGTTCGTACCAGTGGACACTGGGAGCACGAAACCTTTTTACTCAACGGGCCAAATCGTTTGTCGCACAAACAGCAATGCCGACGCAACGCCTTGCGACTGGTGGTTGCTTTCAAGGAATTATAGGTATACACGACCATGGCTTGGCTGTTGTTGATGCGGCCTTGGAGATACCGTTCGATCTCGACCAAGCTCTGGCATCGTCGCGCAATAGCCTTTTCAATGAGAAAGTCCCGGCTACGGAAGGCGTCGACTGCCCACTCGGACGCACCGACTTGCATGTCCACCTCAGTCACGTACGACATGTCGAGGAAGCCCGGTTTGTCGACGGATTCTATAAGCACGTGCCCGCTGCCATAGTTTTGCATTCGCACGAGCCCGCACGACGCCTCCAAGTTGGGGCACCCAGGGAGTTGAATGGACCGACCAGCACGCACCCAGCCCCGGCGGCCTTGGAATGAAAACTCGCGGTGGCACTACGAAACAAAAACCAGTCGGGCTTGAGAAGTACTAGTCGAGAAGCAACAAGGAGGAAATTGCAGCACATTTCGAGCAATACCCAGATCAGTGGACGCTGGTAGTATGATGTAGATTCAAGTTTGGACCGAACACGCGCTTGAAGATTGTGTTTCGGGGGACGCACCTCGAGCACAAGGACATCTCGGTTCATGACGACGTTTTTCATGGGGCTTTGGAATGCTAGCCACGAAATCAAAATGCGGTGGTTGGGGGTGTCGGCAGTCGGAGGTTCCAGTGTGTACAACGTGGACGTGGTCATGATGTCCTTGCCAAAGCGCTGTTTGAAGGCAGTCGCGTGCGCTGGTGTGTCGGTGCGCAAGAGTTCCACGACGTCCGCGAGCGGGGCACACACCTGCAGCTGTCCGCAGTGAAGAAAGTTGGAGCTGACTACAGAGTCGTTTGCTTTGAAGATGCGAAGGGCGTTGTCCGACGAGACTAGCGACCACGACGGGGTCGTGCCTGCTTGTTGCGAACGCTCGATCTACGGGAGGATACGTCAGACATGTATCAAGAATAAACTATCAAAGGGGCTTACAACGAGGGTCGCTGTGGCGAGGGCTTGCGCTTTGAGCTCGTCAATCACGGACGCTGTCAGCGGAGGGGTTGCGAAGACGTCACGTGCACTTAATATAGCCATTGATGGAATGAGGAAAACTCCGTCTCAAGTGAGTGTGGTCGATATTCCATGCTGAGCAGTGGGTGAGCTTATGGTGCACCCTCCCGTTTACGCCATCATAAAAAGGGTATCGAGAACGTGTCGATAGTTTCAACGCTATTTTGACGCTGCCAATCAGCTGACCTGTGCAAGCGTAGTAGGGGCCAGCGGCCAGCTGTGTGAGGAATATACATCGCCCTCATTGCACCTTTGCATGCTTTGGCGTTTGCAAAATCACTCTTGAAACAATCAAGGCAAAGGACTGTACTGTGCCCCAAAGGAGTAATTTGACCATGTCGGCAACCTTGTAAAGTGTTCCAACCACATGGACACATAGGTACACTCAGGTCAGGACAGGCCGAAGGGGGACAAAATATTGTGTCTGAACAAAAGTGGTCTACAGTAGTACTAGTACAGCATTTTACATGCCGATAAGTTTTCATCATCGGTGGTTGCACCTTTCATCTCAATGTAACTACCAGTACCATAAACGCAATCCTTCAGCAGCTTGGACAAAATTGCAGTCACAAGAAATGCACAGTACATCGCCATGTATCAGCGCCTTCGAATCAAGGGCGTCGCGTGGGGAAATGAGCGAGGCAGCTGTGAAAAGTGTATTTCATACAACATACGAGTACGTAGGGACATGTATTACTTCCTGTACTTGTACAGTACTACGTTGTGGTACGTACTAATACTACGTAAGTACAAACGTTTGTACAGTAATACGTTGAGCCCATTAATTGACCCCATAATATGGGTGCATTCAATTCTGATTGGTTATAATTCAATAGATCATATGTTTTGCCTCAATACAAACATCAAGTAAAAGTACTTCGTCGTTGAACAGGCCTCGTCCGGGTAGCGGCACGGCCTACGGCCTACCTGCCGCTTTTCCCGACGAGAGGAATCGATTGGACATTCGGTGAAGTGTACAATTGGGGCTCACTCCTCGCCAAGGCACCGCCTGCACAAAATTATACACACGACCTCCGCTACGCTGCGGTGCGCGCAATTTTGTGGGCGGATGCTCTGTCGTCGCTTGCTACTATAAGGCTTCGTCAACGCGGAAAAAAGAAAATAATAAGATAGTATTGAAACCGGGGCCTTTGAGACCCTATGTGCTTCACACTACCGGTAGCCGACAATGACTACTACAGTACCAAAGAAATAGATTTGTTGTGTACAGGTCAGATATATTTCTGAGAAATTTGAATTATAACCAATCCGATTCGACCATACCCATATCACCCGTCGTGTGAGCGGTCAATTAATGAGCCCTTTAATACGTACCACAACGTTACTCCAGAGTACTGTATTATGTACTCCTTTCTTTTTGGGGGTAGTGGTCGACAAACCCTGAAAAACGTTCAATAAATCTGGATACCGTTCAGCCAAGACTGAAAACCGTTCAAACTAATAAACTCTAGTTAGATTAGGCATATTTTTAGTACTCTGATCATATCAACTCATACTAGGGGTTAGGCGTATCACCGTGGTTAGCGATAGCTAACAACTGGTGATGCGCTTAACCCTGGGGATTTACTGTTAGCATTATACTTCGAAGTATGTGCACGCAGGGGTAGCACGAAGTCCCGGGGTTGCAGGGTTACGGGAAGAAAATTTGCTTGACAGGGCTTGCTGTGAACGGTTTTCAGTCTTGGCTGAACGGTATCCAGATTTATTGAGCGTTTTCCCATAGTTTCTGGAAGTGGTCCGCACTGTTCTTCCAAGCCCATACTATAATTAGTGCGGATTGAGGTACTGTATACTATTAATGTACGTACCGGTAGTGCGATCCACACTAATACATGTGCTGCCGTAGGACTGGTGACGAGGTTGGAAACTAGTTATTTACGGTCGACGATTTATAGCCTGCTCACCGTAAGATATTCTGTTCTGAAAAACAAAGCCATAAAAATTTGGGGTCATCACGCACCAACTAACTTTGACTTTTCCCCGCCACATGCTGTAATTTCTGTAAAATGGAAATGGTTCGATAATGTGTTAGAGGTTATAATGGCTTAGCTATAACATATCAGAGGTTTTGGTAATTCAGTAGGCATTATCCGGTACAACACAGTTTATCCGGGCATGAAACCTCTTATCCGGTCAAATTTGGTTCACTGTTAATATCAAAGCTTGATTGTAAATCTATCGAATGAGCCAATCCAGTTCGATTACGCGAAGAAATGGAAAGTTTAGTCCAATCAGAGCTGAAATGCTGCAAGAATTTTGGAACTGAGGAAGTTGTTAACGAAATGTCACTTACATTAATCACGCAGGAGATAAACTGACAGTGAATGATTCTACACTCAATAATTGACCACGGTGCATCCCTACCACCAACAGCAAAACCTATCGATAATTGTAGTACTACTACGTAACGTTAGTAGTACGTCCCCTAGTACCCATTGGAACGACCAGAGGGGGTTTGCTGCGTTTGTGCCGCCTTCGACTGAGCGGCGATTTCGCTGTCAGATAGCCACGTGCAATTGGAAGAAACCATGGATCGATTGTGGCTGGCTTGGCTTTTGAAAGGACTGCTCAAGGAGATGATGTCGGACGGCGGTGGCGCCGAGTGCTTTTGGTATTTGCTTCGGAACCCCGTTGGTTGCACAATCGAGCATTTGTAGCACGCCATGATGGTGGTATTGGCACGCACGCGCCAACTTTGGATGCATCTCGGGCAAAACACCTATCCTACACTTGTGAGCAAGAAAATGTTGATGCATCAATGTGGTCGAGAATGTTGGTGAATCAATGTGGTCGAGAATGTTGGTGCGTCAGAATGTTGGTAGGAAGTACATGTCCGCAGGTGTGGCATGCCGTGCGTTTCACAATAGGCATGAGTCGTTTCGTGCACATAAAGCAGTGGTGGCGATAAGTCGGGTCCATAGGCACGGCCGGTAGTTGGCGAAGGCGGTCTTCGCGCAGGAATCGATCAATGTCGAGCAAACTGCGGCACCGTTTCTTGGTGATGACTTTGGCCAGCAGCTTTTTACACCGCAACACGTCGGTGAGCAGCCACTCGGACTTGCCTTCGCAATAGTCGACTTGGGTCACGAAGTACATGTCCAAGTAGCCAGGGCGCAGCTCCGACTCGACAAACACGTGGCCGCTGCCGTAGTTGGCCATCCGCACGAGCCCCATGTGGGTTTCCAAGCCCGGGCAGCAGGGCAGTTCTATCGACTTGAACGCACGAACCCATCCCCGTCGACCACCCAAAGTAAACTCATCATGGCACTACATTCGTAAATGAGACGATTGATAATGGCGGTACTGGAACTGTTTTAAACCAAACGAGGTAAGAGGTAGGGGGGGTACAGTACAGTACCTCGACTGCACACACATCGCGCCGTCGCACGACACTGGGCAATTGGCTGTCGTACGCACGCCATGTCACGGTGATGCGATTCTGGGGCCCCAACGACGACTCGAGCTCGTACAACGTGACCGCGTCCAGCAACCCTTTGCCAAAGCGCCGACAGAACGCTTTCGGATTGGTCACTTCGGTGTGGAACAGCGCGATCACTTCGTCGATGGTTGCTACCACTTCCATGTGTGCGCAATACACTGGCACGGCCTCGCCATGGGGCCCAATAGTGTCCTTCAAGCCCTTGTAGATCTTCAGATCGTGTTCGTCCGACACGCACTCGTACTGGTTCGGACCACCCCGTAGTTGGATCTTTGAGATCTAGGTACAGTACCCGAAACGCAACAAAAACGGTGACATGGCGGTGACGTACAGAGTAGCATGGATTGGCTACGTTACCAGGTCATAGGTCGTGTGCACGGCAGTGGCCTTGACCGATTCAGCCATGTCGGATGTCATGGGGGGACATTGGAAGAACGATGGGGGAAGCGGCAATTGTAGTAGTAGCACCATGATGCCGTTGGTCGGAGAATATAAGTATGGGTAACTCGTAGACGGGGACGGATTCCTGTGGATTTACAGTACTGTAGCGTCCGCGACCCTCAACAAATTTCCATAATGATCAACTTGAAGATCTACCTGGACTACCGGTAGTGGGATCATCAATCACACGTCGAAATATCGACCCCCCAAGTTGCCACATCCTACTACAACTGTACTCTACAACGTACCACAACGCAATCATAGTAAATCAACTCGATCGTAGCTTTACCAAGTGCAAATACAAGGGACAACCAAGTTAAGTTAATCGCATTGATACATGCAAAACTACCGGTAGATAAAGGGTTGATGATGATGGTTCACCAGTTTAGCATCTCCACCGCGCGACATACCAAACTCAGAATCAGCATTGCGGCCCGATATGATAGAATTGTTCGAGCAATATAGTTGTAGACTATTTCGAGCGGTTTTGTAGATAAGTTACTAGTAATACTAAGAGTCCGTCACCGAGACTAAGCTTACTAATAGTAGCGTCAGGGGTTTCGTCATTTTCCTTTTTTCAGTGACAACCGCACGACACCTCGTCATGGCTTCGAACGACATTTATCATGGCCAAGCCGCGTTCGCTCCTGGGTTGGACGTCCGGCCGCACGAGTATGCTGCGAAACCGTTTGATGACGAGTATGACGTCGAGATCAAGGTCACGCACTGCGGCATCTGCGGGTCGGACTTGCATACGATCACGGGTGGGTGGGGCAAGATCGCTTATCCGTTGGTCGTTGGCCACGAAATCATCGGGCACGTCACTCGCGTTGGTTCCAAGGTGGACACTGCCAAGTACCCCATCGGCGCGCGCGTCGGCGTGGGTGCGCAGTGTGGGTCGTGCCTGGACTGCAACCAGTGCAACCGCCAGCTCGAAAACCTGTGCGACAACAACGTCGTGTACACGTACAACAGTTCCAGCAACGGGTACATCACGCAAGGTGGGTACGCAGACTACTACCGCTGCCACTTTAACTTTGTCGTGCCCATTCCCGACGGCATCACATCCGAGAGTGCCGCGCCAATGATGTGCGCGGGCGTGACCACGTATGCTCCGTTGAAGCATCACGGCGCTGGCCCTGGCAAGCACGTGGGGGTGGTCGGGATTGGCGGGTTGGGCCATCTGGGGGTACAGTGGGCTGTCGCGCTCGGGGCCGAAGTGACGGCACTGTCGAGTTCATCCAAGAAGGAACACGAGGCCAAGGATTTGCTCGGCGCGCATCATTTCTTAAACTACAGCGACGCCAGCGCAGTCACAGTGGCTGCCAAGTCGTACGACATTCTCCTTGTAACGTCGTATGGCAAGGACACCAACTGGAACGTGCTGTTGAGCCTCGTCGCCACCAACGGCAAACTTGTGCTGGTGGGGCTGCCCGAGGCGCCCGTGTCCTTCTTTCCGTTCTCGGTCGTGTCCAGACAAGTGACGTTTGTCGGATCGACCATCGGGTCGCCTGCGGAATTGGAGGAGATGCTCGCGTTTGCCGTGGAAAAACGCGTGAATTCGATCGTGCAAGTCGTGCCTATGAGCCGCGCCACGGACGCCCTGCACCAAGTTCGTAACGGGGACGTCCGGTTTCGCATTGTGCTTAAGAACGAGTAAATACCCGCTTTTATTACACATCCAAAACGAATGGTTGAGTTTGGGTTGACATAAGTGTACTCGAGTCGCGTTTCTGCTGGACTACTTAACTACTGTGCATAGGGTACTGTAGTAGCTAAGTAGGCATGCCTTGGGTTCTACAGTAGTACGTAACGTAACGTTATATGAATTCATGGGGAAGAGTAAACGAGGCGTTGGCGGCAAAACAAAACTCGTACTATTTATTATAGTCAGAATTGATACAAATTTGGGGAGGGGGTGCAATCGAATCGCGTCGATCTGATTGGTTGAATTTCATTGAGAAGGTTTTGATTGGTTAATAATTTTGAGCTCATCTGCAGTAGCCAGTCATATATTCTTGAAGTATCTCAACTCGGTTACTATGATAATTTTCACTTGAATTCATCTTGTTACTGGGTAGTTTTTAGCCTGTGTTTTGTTTGGTTTTTTTATTCTTACTTTTGTTTGGTCAGTTTGTTCTTTTCTTCTGGCGTCTCCTCTTATGGATTTGGTTGATCGTTTTGGTATTGTTCTTGGTATTCTAATTCTTTTTTATCTCGTCCGTCTTGTTATTGTTCTTTGGGTTTTGGTTTCTTGTTATGGTTATCTCGTTCTACTTCAAGAATATATGACTTTACAGTTAGTTAAATCAAGTGACCTTCATAGTGGAAAATCCATACACTGTAGTACTGTATAACGAAGTGTATAATTTATACACAAACTGTATAGTAGTACAATTTTACTAATACTAGCGAACCCTACTTCAGGTACCGTAGTATTAGCATTCTATAATTAAAGTGACCCTCAATTCCATGCCAGCCCTAATGGTCTAGTGGTATGATTCCTGCTTTGGGTGCAGGAGGTCCCGGTTTCGATCACCGGTTGGGGCCGTCTTTTTTCATTGTGATGCTTATTCCTAACGTTACCGTTACTTTTGCGTGGACAAAATTCCCTCACACCATAGCCACGATCACCCAGCGGGGGAGTCCGCTCACCTTGCTGTTAAAATTTATGTGTGTGGATTACCTGCATTTCACGAGCCGATGCTCTGACGTGTTGTTGTGATGGAAACTCCAAACATCTTGTCACGCACCGTCGAAGGGGACAATATAACGATCACATCCGATGACCGTCCATGCAACCTAGTTTGAAACTACGCGGTGATGATTTCAACCCCATGAGTCGTAGCATGAGACACTGAAGTGTTACTTTGATCATTTTTATCATAAAGTAGATACTATAAACATTGAGTCAGCTTGGCCGAGTGGTTAAGGCGTTAGCCTGCTAAGTTAATGGGGCAACCCGCGTGAGTTCGAATCTCACAGCTGACGATTCTTTTTCACTCCAAATTTAACCTCTAAAATCGCAACCTATAAAAATACACATACCACTGTAGTACTACTGTATTAAGTTGAAGTGTTAATAACGTTAACTGTAAGTTCGCTTCTTCTTCGAATTTTGCCGCCGCGGACATGCCCAACATCGATACAATCAATGTTACCGGAGAAATCATATGCGCGACTGCCTGTACCCCAAGCGTGGTCACTGTGCAGTTGTTGCTCCATGTCACCAAGCAGGTGACGGACGCGCAATGGGTTAACATGGTGTACTCCATTTATACGCTACTGTAAGAGATCTCCACTCGTTATACGGATAACCCTTATATAGGACAAGTCTTGGTCTTAAGTTCCCAGCCGTTGGTCCCTTTGACGCATAGCACTAACATCGCCAAGAGGAAGTTAATGCAGTTGAATCAACGTTCAATTATGATAAGTACTCGGGATTGTTCGAGGCGAATTGGATAATCAACTGCGCCATCTCATGCGGTGCTGCCCTACGATTCCTTGGGAGAGTACGCTGAGTTACTTTATAGCGAATCAAACAGTTGTCTACCGGTAGGTAGGTTAGGCTAAACCACTTAATAATAACGGCAACTGTCACCGTTTAACGCTTGTCCCTTGATCACGAAACCGTATCAATTGAAAAACGTAACTGCCACCGTTACAATTGTAGCACCGGTTACTCGTGTAGAAGCGAACCGTCGACACGTCGCCCCCGTTTGCCCGTCACGCTTTCCCTGGGCTGCATGTCGTCTACACTGTGCGCCACTTCCGGCGTCGCTTCTGGCACTACTTCCATCGACATCCAAAGCATTCTGAATCGAGGGGGACATCAATGTCCATCGCCCCATACGCGGCGCCACGTTGTGAGCGCTCCTCGATGGATGCTCAACCCCGAGTCTGGCTTCAAGATCAAGTGGGACTTGGGCCTCGCGCTGTGCGTGTTCTACACGTCGTGCGTGGTGCCCGTGCGCATCAGTTTCAGCCTGGACGCGACTGGTTTTTTTTACTTTTTTGAATGCGGCATCGACTTTTGCTTCTTCTTGGACATTCTCTTGAGCTTTCGCACGGGGTTAATCGACCCCACCACCGGCCACGTACGTGTATCTATTTCTTGTGTGGACTACTACTACTACTAGTATATTTGATTTACTTTTTCATATTTTTTTCTTCTACTTCTAGGTGTACTATAACAAACGTCAAATCGTTCGCTCGTATTTGCGAGGGTGGTTTGGCATTGATTTGGTGTCGACGCTGCCCCTCGAGTTCATCGCCAAGCATCTGTACCCCGAGGCGACAGCATCGTCTTCGTCCAACACGCTGCAGTCGGCCAAGATCCTACGTGGTCTTAAACTCATTCGGCTGCTGAAACTAGTGCGCATTCGAAAAATCGGCCAAATGATTTCCAAGTTGGAGGAAGAGGTACAGTACATATACCTGCTTTCCACATATATGAAGAATATATATACCCTGAGTTAATAGTTTTTTGTATTTTTGTAGGTGTTTGCCAATCAAAGCGTGCTCTCGTTGGTGAAAATTCTGCTGTTTTTGCTCTTTCTCGCCCACTTGGTCGCATGTGTATGGTTCTACGTCGCCCAAATCAGCACGTACGATAATTGTTACCATAAAGTGAAAATCGGCTTTTTTTAAATCTTTTTTATACCATCCTATGTACGTTATTTGTAGGTATTCGTGGTCCAATACATTGGGCTACATGATTAACGACCACCCAAACATGGTTACGTTGCAGTACTTGTCGTCGCTGTACTGGGCCATTGTCACTATGGTACGATCTATTTCGGGGTTTCGAATTGTTGTCGAAGCATATATAATATTTATATGATACCCTCCTAGTGCTAGTTAAAATTCTAGTCTAGATATTCACCTAAGTACTGCTGTTAGACGACGGTCGGGTACGGAGACATTACGCCGAAAACCAAAACCGAGCTGATTATCGCCATGTTTGTCATGATCATCGGCGTGTCCATGTTTGGGTATGTGATTGGAAATATCACGTCGCTGGTGGACAACATCAACGCGTCCAGTCGCATGCAATCGCAGCACATCACGACACTCAAGGAGTATGTGATTGTCCGAAACTTGCCCAAACATACTGGTACGTCGTCATATTCCAAGTTTGTTTTCGTGTGCATTCTTGCTCTACGTACTTGAATATATACATCATGTACATGTAGTTTATAATGCACTACATGTAGTTTATAATGCACTCTTGCTCTACGTACTTGAATATACATATCATGTACAGGTAGAAAATATTTATTGTTCTGCGGAGTTAGTTAAATATATTCATGTATATATATATATGACAGCGCTTTGGAACTATCTGTTAGGCAAGCGCGTGTTGGATCACTTTGAGTACTTGTATCGGCATCGCTCCGTGTTTGATGAAGGCGCAATCCTGACCAACTTGCCCACTGGCATGCGCAACGATGTGGTATGTGATTATATATATATTCTACTCTGGTCCATAATGTTAGTCCAATTATTTCCAAACTGATCTCGCTTTCCTAATATATATATTGCTTGTGTGAAAGTTGGCGATCTCATCGTTGATTGGCTGGATCATGCATGTTTCACATGGGTAGACTGACAATTCTATATTTTGGTTTGCAGGTTCACCATGTGCTGCACAAGATGATTTCGCGCATCCATTTCCTCTCGACGTGCCATCACGAAGGGCTGGTAGCCGACTTGGCGGTGGCGATGCAGCCCTTCTTTTGTGTTCAAGACGAAGCCGTGTATGTGCAGCAGGACATGGCGGCGCACGTGTTTTTCATTCTCAAGGGTATACGAAAAAGTATATTTATTTATTTAGTTTTTGATTTTTGAAACGTAATTACGCCTCTAGATATATATATATAATGTACACTTTAATATTAAAATCCATAATTTAAATATTATTTTATTGATATTTGCCCTAATAGCGTTATATAATTTGCCACTACAGGCACCATGGGGTTGATCCAGAACAAGCTGAACCAAACGACTGGCATAACCACAAAGACACTGCTGCTTGCGCTCGACGAAGGCAGCCATTTTGGAGAGGTTTATCTCGAGTTTATATAGGAAATACCGACGTTGTGGTGGTTATATGTACTAGGTGGAATTATTCCATCCAGTTTATAGCTGCGGCATGCGGCTGACGTCGGCGGTGGCAAAGTCGTACTGTCAACTAGCGTTTCTTCCCCGACCTGTGATTCTATCAATCGGTACATCATGGCATCATCGTCTAGTCGCATACATATATATATAATATATACATTTCCCAGCGATGTTTTAAAGATGAATTCAATTTTTGTAACACGTCATAATATTAGGGAAAACTTGGCCGGAAGCCCTGGAGACATTTCAGACCGAGGCGACGGCCAAGGCCAAACTTATGGGTCCCCTCATCAATGCTGGTCTACGTCAGCCCCCACCCCCTCCCCTGTCCATCAATATTCGAACGAACCTGCAGTTGGGAACAGTACGATGTGTTTTTTATTGGCAATTCTGTCGTTTGCCGAGTTTAATTGGTGCGATTTTAGAACGTCGTAATACCGACAGCGACAGCCACGGGACTCCCATGCCTTTCCACCACTACCGAAAAGAAACCTCCAATCCAAGTCGAAATAGCTGCTCACACTGACGATGTAGCATCTCCATCCCTTTCGTCACTTAATTGTATGATTCGTCCGCTGGACGTCGCGCCGCAGAATGCAACCACCATCACCAACGTGGGACATCGCCTGTCCCTTCCGGAAAAGAAGGTACTCAGCTGTTACAAGCGTCTTGTATTCTTATATCTCCATACTATGACATGGATTCTGCATGCTGTTGAAAGTGGTATCAGTGATAAGTCACATGATGACGTTATACGGGCATTGTACCGGGCGTTACCACATTACGACGACGATGATGATGGCGGAACCTTATGGCGCACGCAGCATATATTCTACTACCTATATTGACCTTTTCGTTGAATTTTGGACATCGTAGCTGATGGATTTGAGCATCGATTTGAATTAGATTTTAACCTATTTAATGTATGTTACATATACAAACTTGAACCTGAACATTTGGCCTGGGCCAATCGATCATTGGTGGTTGAAACCTCTCTTTAGTGCACTTTGATTGGCTAGGACATTCTAACATACATTTTGTCAACTTCATTCAATTCTACTCGGAAGGCCAAATTGGAACGGATTTGACAATATTAGTGTTTTCTTGAAAATTTATAATACCTACCATTACCAACTCTATTATTTCAAATACATTGCGTTTCAAATGGGAATGTGTGTCGAATCGGTTTAGGGTGCGTGTGGTAACATTTCAAAAATATTATTCCATTTTCTTGGAAAATGGGATTAACCCAAAATGCCATTTTCAAAATGGAGGTAAAAGGTCCATTTTGTAATATAGAGTTTTGGACCTCTTCAACGAGTAAACCCCACGTGGAAATATTTATTGGATTTGGGTTAAACCACTTCCAGCAAGGCATGTTTCAATTTTGATCAGATTTGTTGAATTCGGCCCCAAAATCGCGTTTTGAGCCTGAATAGTGCAATATTTCCGGTTACCAGACGCACCCTTATACTATCTGTTGGGGTAGGTGGCGCACTTTCATGGGATGCTACACCCACACGATATTTTCGTCGTGAATTGGCAGATGACAGTGGCGACGGCGATCGTGTATTCGTCCTTCATGGTACCGTATCGCATTGGGTTTGAAGCTGCGCCGGTGGCAGAGGGGCGGTACTTGGACACGTTTGTGGACGTGTTGTTCGGTCTGGACATCGTCCTCACGTTTCGTCTGGCGTACCACAACGCTGAGAGGCAGTTGGTGTGCAACGCCGTCACAATTGCTAAGAAATACGCCAAGGGGTGGCTCGTCGTGGACTTGCTGTCGACTCTGCCCATTGACTCGATAGGCCGCTTGTTTGTGCCGTCCGAAAACGCAGCCCAAGTCGCCCAGTCGACCAAATTCCTCCGCATGTTTCGCGTCGCTAGGCTGTTCAAACTCGTGCGACTACTCAAAATCGGCAAAGTGTTCAAACGCATTCGAGATTCCATCCAGGTACTGTATATATATATATATATATATATATATATAAATTGATATATTTTCGAAGAACTTGGATGATGTATATATACGTATATTTTTGGAAGGACATAAATGATATATTGGAAGAACTTGGATGATGTATATATATGTAACGTGGGGCACCAGTCATCAGCATCGTTCATTGATTACTTTGTTCGTCCATTTCTCGTTGACTACAACACATATTGAGGTGATACAAATATCAAAATAACCGCAAGATTCAGCTCATGAATTGAGGTTCAAAGGATATCAATTTCAATAGTAAACACGTGCAGTAAGGATTTTCAAAAGTAGCGTTTTTTGTAGGGCACCAGTCATCGGCACACGTTTTAGACTTGTGTAATGTATTGAATCCTCCACGCTCCAGTTCGCGGGATGCTGTCATCATATTAGATATCAAAGGAATATTTGTTTAGCATGGGTATTAACTGCTACAGTAACGATTTCTGTATGATCAACACAAATTGACAGGTCCAACCTCTAATTTATAAGGGGCACTAATTCTTGAAGAACTACATTTTGACCAATAAGAGTTATTCAGGCATTTCTATTGGCTTAGAACAGTGCCGATGACTGGTGTCTTTGCCGATGACTGGTGCCCTACGTTATATATTATATAGTGGAAGAACTTGGATGATATATATTATAAGAACTTGGATCATATATATATAGTATATTTTTGGAAGGACATAAATGATATATTGGAAGAAATTGGATGATGTATATATATGTAACGTGGGGCACCAGTCATCAGCATCGTTCATTGATTACTTTGTTCGTCCATTTCTCGTTGACTACAACACATATTGAGGTGATACAAATATCAAAATAACCGCAAGATTCAGCTCATGAATTGAGGTTCAAAGGATATCAATTTCAATAGTAAACACGTGCAGTAAGGATTTTCAAAAGTAGCGTTTTTTGTAGGGCACCAGTCATCGGCACACGTTTTAGACTTGTGTAATGTATTGAATCCTCCACGCTCCAGTTCGCGGGATGCTGTCATCATATTAGATATCAAAGGAATATTTGTTTAGCATGGGTATTAACTGCTACAGTAACGATTTCTGTATGATCAACACAAATTGACAGGTCCAACCTCTAATTTATAAGGGGCACTAATTCTTGAAGAACTACATTTTGACCAATAAGAGTTATTCAGGCATTTCTATTGGCTTAGAACAGTGCCGATGACTGGTGTCTTTGCCGATGACTGGTGCCCTACGTTATATATTATATAGTGGAAGAACTTGGATGATATATATTATAAGAACTTGGATCATATATATATATATGTATGATGGATGCGGTTGAACGGCAACGCAACCACACGATACGGCAGCTCGTGCGTATGCATGTTTCTATCTATATACCCTCATATCCACTTGATATTTGGAATGGTAATACACATATACAAGTGTTTTGATATACTAGAACTCTTGGAATCCAATTATAATGACCCCGATACACAACCATTGCACGCATTTGTTTATACATGTAAAATGTAGTTATTATACCCTCGTTCACTCGATATTAATATCCTATGATCTACTAGCTGAGTCCGTCGACGGAGCGACTGCTCAAGCTGGTGACAATCATGATCTGCTTTGGGCACTGGTGCGCATGCATTTTTCACTGGATCATGCTGTTTGAAGAAGAAAGCGGGTAACGTTATGCAATTCACATGACCTTTCCGAGACCCTAACCTCTACTAAGTGCCCAAAAATTGAAAATAAATTGAATCACAGTTCTCCACCCTTATTACACTAACCGATATGTATTTATTTACGATGGAGTAGCGGCCACACGTGGTGCACAGACTACTTTTTTCCGTACGATGACGAGCCTGGGGCGTGTTCTGTTCGAGTGCCCAACGAAGATCGCTACTTGGTCGCCATCTACTGGGCGTTCACGACCATGACTACCGTGGGATATGGTGACCTGAAGCCGTCCAAATTCTCCGTCCCCGAGCTGAGTTTTGCGGTCGTGTGCTTGATTGTCAACTCGACCGTGTTTGCGTATGTTGTGAGTGGCATCATCGGGGTGATTTCCAATCACAACCCGAGCGACCGAGAATACCGAACGCAAATGAACGAAATGAAGGTATGTTAGTCCGATATTAGCAAAAATATAAAATGAAAAAAAAAAAAAAAATCCCGTATTGGAGAAACCAGAAAATGAAAATCCTTCCACCTTCTACTAAAACTATTATTTTGATATCGTTTTTCATATGATTCATATATTGAATGGATGGGGATTGACACCATTTGTAGGATTACGTGCGCGACACGGCCATGAGCGTCCGACTTAGTAACAACGTCAAGCGACATTATGATTTCCTACTCAGCACCACGTGTTTATTTCCCGAAGAGCAGGTCATATGATAAAAAATAATATTATATATATATATATACAAGGGTGTATATATCCTGGAGTATATTATGATTTAATATGTTTGTAGATCTTCAATCAATTGCGACCGAGCCTTCGCTTTGACGTGGCACGTCTCGTGGCCAGCAACACAATCATGACCATCAACATCATCGCATCGATGGAAAAGAAATACAAAGGTAGGACAGCTATAAACTATATATAACTAAATACATGGCTAATTCAGTATCATTCATACCACATTACACACACATATAATATATATATATATAAATATTTAAATACGGTGGCTAGGATTTGTCAGCTACGCTTTGTTTCTGTTGCGGCCGCAGTTTATCCTCCGAAGCGAGCGCGTGTGCCGCAGTGGCAGCCCTGGCACGGAAATGTTTTTCCTCATCGAAGGCGAGTGCGAGCAAATGGACCAAGATAACCACAACGTCCGCGTGTTGGGGTATATATATATATATATATATATATATTCTGTTATTTGTTATATACCAGGAATATATATACATTTGAGACTATTTTTAATATTTCTGGATAGAGAGGGGACATTATTTGAAGCATATGCGTTGCTGGCACCCCCAGAAGAGCACTACCGTATGCAAAGCACCGTCACCGCCCTCACGCCAACGTGCCAGCTGTACTCGTTGTCGGTGCACGAGTTTGAGTAATATTTTATCTATCCCTGAAAATATTATTTATGGAAATATACTTTATACATATGTCTCGTATGTGTAGGTCCATAGCCGACTTGTCACCTGCGATTTCGGTAAATTTGGCGTATGAGTTTGCGATGGATATCGCAGCCGACTCGTTCTTGAGTCTCTCACCTGAACAAGTAAGTACCTTCGAACATTGAACGTGTTGTTATTTCCTTAATCATATATATACTATTGGATCAAGTGTTAATCATATGTAAACTTAGCGGTCGGTGGTATCCCAAGCAATAGCTCGATATGCTGTTGTCGAGAACAATATGGACACGTCAGCTGATACAATGTCACCAGATTCGACCAAGTCCAGTGTCATCCAAGAAGCTGAACATGTTTAGGCCAAATCCAATGAATCCTGCAGTACTGTAGTACCGTGATGGACATATAATGGTATTGTTGTGTTTATATTCTAAACTGGAGCGACATGGAGAATAAATCGACACAACCAAATGTGCTCAAGAGTCGGCAAAAGGGGATGTAGCAAATCAAATTGCAGGAAACCATCTTCAAAGCCAAATTAGTGTGTGACTTCAAACCAATCACCACTCGACACCTCTTTACATACAAAATTCAGTACAAAGAATCGATCGATAGATTGGCGGTTCAGCACAAAAGTCAACCAAATTTTGGGTAAAAGGACAATAATAACATGCAGATTGTGTGCACTTGAACTCGGAAGTGGCGGTGTCTATATTACAAGGCACACTTTGCTGCTTGTCGTAAATAACATATGACACTATCGACAACATTTTTAGGCAACACGCCACTCTGACCCCATACATCAACATATACAGCCAGCATTCTCGATGCATTTGTTCCAAAGGTTCTAGTTCCAAAATCCCATGCGGACAGACCCAAGCCTTATGTACCCTCGTATCCGTTTTTGGTATGGGGAAAGCCACTCCCGGTGACCACCTCCCCTCCGAACATTCCACTTGCACACGAGTTGAACCGTACAGACTGAGCTTCCTTGTGTAGCAATGCCATCAGGTGTATCACCTGGAAAGGTAGCAGTCTCCCCAGGCAACACAAATGCGGGGACCGGCGTCTGGGGCTGAGGGTTTTCTATCAAATGGCTCGGGTGAGCTTACAATCTCCACTGCATCTACGCCCCATATATACAATCACGCCGCCGACTTACACTGTTCCCGGAGCACATGCGACCCCTCCACCTGGTTTTGATCCAACCAATCCCTGGTTAAGCGCTAGCCATCGACTTGACACGTCGTATGTTTGCATGTATGCACTTACAATGCGTATTGTCAAGTTTAAACGTACGATAGATAGCTCAGTACATGTTTATAACATGACTCTACTAGGTCGACACATTTCAACAGGGATAGGTGCCACTGTGTGTGCAATCAGTGCATGCCGACCTGGCTGTAGCACCACTCGCTTCTCCCGTTCGACGAGGAGTCGTACATGATAAACCAGTGGTAAATGTGTCCAACATAAATGAATCATTCTTAACGGTCAACCGATACTACACGTACATACTGACCAAATAGAAGCCCTTTATTGCCACCGCAGAAATATGTTTCTATTTTTTCATATGTCATTCTTGTATCCATACGTAGTGTCCAGTTTCAGTTCCTTTACCAATACTGCCGCCAGCCACCACAATAACCTATCTACATTCGAATGCTAGTTGGGGCGGAATGACTCAAGTCCGAATGTGGGTGATAATTGCACAATATAAACTACTATTATTATTATTATTTTTTTTTTTTTGCATACTGTGCTACGTTTTTCTACGTTACGACGCCCCCGACGCCAGCCCCAGCGTGTGCTTGGTCTTGGACATGACCCCTTTCATCGCTTCTTTGACGTTTTCAGGGAGCACGCTTCCTTTGACAATGCGCAGCTTGGCCATCGCCACCTTAGCCATGTTGGTGAGAGGACCGTAGTTCAAACCCTCGGGGTGCAGCGTCTTCTTGCGTTCAATTGCCCCCAACACCACGGCCTCCTACATGGATTTCCAGCGAAAACAATAAATATATAAATAAATCTCTTCATTTCAAGTCGTTTGCATGGTCCAACAACGTACTTGTTCGTCGTTCAACGTCAAAAAGTCATCTTGGAGGATCGATTTCGCAAACTCGTACGCCAAATTCACCGAAATCGCAGGTGACAAGTCGGCTATGGACCTACACATACGAGACATATGTATAAAGTATATTTCCATAAATAATATTTTCAGGGATAGATAAAATATTACTCAAACTCGTGCACCGACAACGAGTACAGCTGGCACGTTGGCGTGAGGGCGGTGACGGTGCTTTGCATACGGTAGTGCTCTTCTGGGGGTGCCAGCAACGCATATGCTTCAAATAATGTCCCCTCTCTATCCAGAAATATTAAAAATAGTCTCAAATGTATATATATTCCTGGTATATAACAAATAACAGAATATATATATATATATATATATATATACCCCAACACGCGGACGTTGTGGTTATCTTGGTCCATTTGCTCGCACTCGCCTTCGATGAGGAAAAACATTTCCGTGCCAGGGCTGCCACTGCGGCACACGCGCTCGCTTCGGAGGATAAACTGCGGCCGCAACAGAAACAAAGCGTAGCTGACAAATCCTAGCCACCGTATTTAAATATTTATATATATATATATTATATGTGTGTGTAATGTGGTATGAATGATACTGAATTAGCCATGTATTTAGTTATATATAGTTTATAGCTGTCCTACCTTTGTATTTCTTTTCCATCGATGCGATGATGTTGATGGTCATGATTGTGTTGCTGGCCACGAGACGTGCCACGTCAAAGCGAAGGCTCGGTCGCAATTGATTGAAGATCTACAAACATATTAAATCATAATATA